ATACAATACAATCTTATCCTTCATCGAGTTTTCAACACAGGAAACAGGTATATTAGAAAGTGCCTGATTCACAAGTTTTTCTAAGTCAGATACAGTGATTGCTTTGAACAGCCCTAAAGGAACAAGCTGTAAACAGTGCTTTTATACAGCTCCAATAATACACATTTCAAAGTCAAAATGCCCAGCCATCTAGCTGCTTTCACAGCCAATACCCAGTGCAGAAAAACCCTAAACAAGTTCTATTTTACTAGGCATGAATTTCATCTGATCTCCTAGCTGTAGGTCTCACACGACTAAGAACAGGAGTATCAGGTCTTTTGTTGGTTTTTTTGTGTGTGTGGAAACCTTTTTTTCTGCCCTAATCAGTGGAACAGGGAGAGGAACCTGTAGCTTACTAATGTCCCAAATTTCCATCAACAGATTCCTCCTAATTATTTGAAGTGCCTAAACACTTTTGATGCTGGCATTGATGCCCACAAGAAGGTAACTATAACTTGTTCCAACAGTCACAAAATCCAAATCCGAGCTTACAGGGTACCTACGTCTTCAGAGACATCAGTGCAACCATCGTCTTCCTCTGCCCCACCACCCCGAGCTTCTCCCAGAGCCTCAAGGTGTGCACAGAGTCACTGCGAGACGTGCTCTGGGACACAAAAGGAGTTCCCCAGCATTGCGTAACTTCCTACAGCTTTTGTAAATACAAACTATGATATCCACGAGGCCCTTTATCACCTTGAATAAATAAGTAATATTTCATGCATACCAGAGTATAGGTGAGGGCTAGATAGGGTAAACATACACCTGTGTAAAGAAGTCAAGACCTGTCTGCCTGCCAAGTTCATCTGATCATGAGACTTGTCTTGGATTCCAGGTGAATTCTCATTTACGAGAGCATAGAAAATTCACCAGTAATGCCAAAATCCATCACTAGCTGGTGGCTACCTCACCCTGCAGCCCTTGCTCATGTTTGAAAGCTGTCTTCTATCTCATACATCTTATTTCTCACATAAAATTTTCTGGATCAAGTTTTTCAATGGAAATGGTTAATAAGGAAATACACGCAATACTTCCGTCATGACGCGTTTGTTCAGAGAATTAACCTCCCACATCAACTCAACACATGGATGATCTGCAAAAGCCAATATGAAGTGAAGAAGAAATAGCAACCTCAGCTCATCAAGCCATACAGAGCGACCAAGCACAGCTGAGAGAGATGCTTTTTCCCAGCCCAGGCACAGTAAAGTGCAGTTTTTGATATTGGATGTCTTTTAATCCTCCTCCTCCCATTCTCCATGAGAAAGTAGGAGACATTTTACCCTGCTATTTTGTTACTTTTTTGGTTTGGTTTTGTTGGGCTAGCTTTTTTATTCATTTCTGTTTGATTGGTTTTGTTCAAGTTTCGTGGGTTTAGATGTTGTGTGGTGGGTTTTTGTTTGGATTTTTGTTTTTTTCTTTGTTGTTGCGGTTTTTTGTACGAACAGGATAGGCTGGCTGTATAGCCAGAAAAGACAAACAGAAAATCAGTTTCTGGTAGAGTGATTTGTGAGTGTCTGGACGTACCAGCAGAGCTGGCACAGGTAAGGAGTGGGAGCACTGCGATCTTCGCTCCATCTCCAGGGTGTGACAGGTGTGTCAAGGTGACAGGCACAAGTGCTGCCAACCCTTGAAGAAAAGGGCTGAGCCTTGCTGTGGGTAATACTAGAGCAAAGTAAGAATTACAAAAAGCTTTGACAAGATCACACCCATTCAGCTTCTGGAAAGTTTTTTAGATCCTGCAATAACCCCGAGGCCCAGCTCTAAAGCAGGTAACCCCGTGGAGCAGCATTAACTCCCGCTGTGCCAAGGGCCACCACGGCAGATCAGCTCATCCTGACAATGCTGTCCTGTGTGTGCGGTGATTTTTGAGGTGGACCACAAAGCCTTATACAGCCTTCTCTGTATGGACCAAGAAAAGTTAGTCGTACACTGACCAATCATTTGTAAGAAATCCCAAGGATTTAATGAAATTGCCCACTGGCTGAGACAGGTCCAAGTTACAGTTGTCTCATAGTGCCATCCAGAGGAGGATGGGAAGTCACACGATGACTCCCTGCTGCATCTCTCCTGTTTATTAGTCCAACTTGTGTGACATGGGAGCAAGTCCCATGGCTTGCCCTGCCTTCATCTCAAGATGAGGAGCAGGTTCCAGACACCAGATGCTGATGGGAGCAGCACAGAAACCAGGCGAGTGTCTCTCACCGAGCACACAGGGCCCTGCAGGGGAAGCATTGCTTGGCAGCGGTTTTACCTTGCCAAACAGGCAGTGTTTTCTCTGGGTAGGCTGGTCTGCTCAGCAGCCAGCGTACATGGGCTTAGAACCAAACTGCAACCCCTAAAAACCTACAGAACTGCCTATAGCCCTGGTAATAACACAAGTGGCACAGTCAAAAAAAACAAAACCAAACATGGTTTCATAAGCGAATACCTTCTCTCTGTTCATTAGGTGCACGAGAGTAAAACACAAAAATGCCTTCTGTATGTATTTATGATTGCAGCCACCAGGTTTATGTTCTGAATCACTGTTTGAAATGCATTCTCACATTGAAGTGTATTAAGAAAACATTATGGGGTCTCCTGTAAACCAGCAAACTGCAGGAGAGACAGAGTTGAGGCTGAAATTGCACACTTGATGTACTTCATTATATCTAGGTATGTACTGAAGAGCTTGTAATAATACTCGCTGTTCCAGAAACTTTTGATACATAACCAGAGGCTGTTTTGGGGGCCTAGAAATGTTATCCTTGCAGGAGGCCTGGGAACTTGGGAACTGAGACCAGCTGTCTTCGTTTTGATGGGATGCTTACTATTGATTTTTTTATTTTAATTTTAAAGGCTAGCCCATAATTTATTCACCTTCATTTTTCAGAGCCCCACATGTAACTCACCAGGCAGAGCACTAAATCCTTACTGGTCCTTTCTGAACCCAGGCTCTGCTGACCACAGCTGGAGTGGCTCCTGCCTGCCTGTCTCAACACCCTCTGCCACAGCAGCATAAGGATACTCGGCACAAGAGCAGAGAGGGGAACCCAACATAAAAATACATGCCTCAGAGCACAAAAGAAAATAAATGAAAAATTCCCCAGAAAAAAATTCTTCTGGTTTAGTAAACCCAAGAAGTTCAAACTAACTAACTAAATGAATTAATTAAGCATATGAACCTAATTCTACCTTTTTCTGTCCAAGATTCTCAGGGCTGAGTTTCACACCCAGGTAGGGGAATCTCTAGTAGAAGCTTCCAGACTGCACTGGATCCTCAATGAATACTACTGCCTGTGTCCACAGACCGAGAAACCCATCACGGACCTCAGCTCTTTCCAGTGCCCTCCTCGGGACCTCTTCTGGCAACAGAAAACCACATTACATCCCCCACAGCTCCACGAAGCACCCCCCAGCACAGCGAGGGGTCAGGAGTCAGACCCCAGAGATGTCTCAGCCAGCCCAAGTGCCAGGCTCTGCCCTGCAGCCCTTGCAGAAAGCCAGAAATACCCATGAGGATAAACTCACAGCCCATTTCTGCACCAAAAGGGTCCTGCCTAACTCAGTGGTGTCCCCACCTGTACAATGCAGAAATTACATTTCCTCTACAGGATGCTCTGAAAACTACACCCAGAAAGGGAACCGTAAGGTGCTACAATTAGCAATCGTTTTACTCAGAAGCACAGTTCCCAGGATATTTGTCAGGCAGCTGAAACCCTAAGGTGTTTTAAGCTTCATGAGAAAGCTTGTTCACATATGTTGTGGAACCACAGTTCAGGCAGCATTTCCTCTACAAATTGAAGAGATTAACTAGCTAGCCGTAAAAGAATAAATATGCACCCTGGAATTAAGGGAGGGAGGGGAGTTATGCATTTGCTTCAATTAGGAGAGCTGAAGGAAAGCAAAAAAAAATAATTAGTGTATGCCTGATCACTTTTGACTTCCAGAATGCCCAGCACTGCCTTTGCGGTTACTTTTATTATTTTTCTTTAACATGAGAGGCAATCTAGCAGAGAGAAATCCAGGCTTCTGCTACCCCATGACGAGGGCAAGAAACAGCACTATCTATCCAAACACAGCAGCAAGACCATTCTGGGCTCATTTTCAGTTGTGTTATGAAGTTTAAATGGAAGCAGATTGAACTTAAATTACGAAACTCAAAACTTTCCCCCCTTGTACTGCATGTGGGCACAAACTCTTCTTTGTGCAAAACTAAAGCCAAGGATATAGGACCATCTTCCCTTTGAATTTAAGGATACCGATCTAGCTGCATTAACAAGCGGCAATTTAAACTGTAGCAACACTGTCCCTGCCCACACCTACAGGAGTGTGGGTGAGAGAGAAGTGAAGCAGCACATTCCCCAGTGGCCTCTGCCAGCATTATGTGGTGAAGCAGAGCGCGGGCAGGCACCGGCACAGCCCTACCAGCCTCCACCAGCACGCCCAGCCAGGAGTCGTGTGGCCGTATTCCTAATGCCTTCCTCTTAGACCCAGCACCAACCACCCTGACAAACTCAGCAGGGAAACGCCAAGAGCACCCATGTTCATCAGTGTCAAAGAGATTCTCCCAGCGACCAGACTGCATCTCCCCTCTTTAAAGCACACATGGGAATGAATTTTGCAAAGCAGGAATCTACAACTTCTTACGAAATCAAAATAAATTTCACTCAATGTTTTTCCTCTTGTATCCTTCATCTCATCACTTACCTTCTGTAGACTTCTGGGCAGTGTTTTCATATGCTTCCCTCATTTACAACAAAAAAAAATTGACATGTCTTCTGTAGACTTCTGGGCAGTGTTTTCATATGCTTCCCTCATTTACAAAATAAAAATTGACATGAAGTTTATAGGTTACAAGAAATCTCTCCTAAATCAAATACTTTTTTTCAAACATTCCACTCGAGGCTTTCCTGTAAAAGACCTTGTTTTCCTATTCAGATTCATTTTTAAGCTTTTAAGAAGATTGTATTCTCACAGGTACTCACAGAAATTTTTCCAGTACGATTGGCTTCCTCTCTTTCTGCCAGGGCCCGCAGAAAGTTGTCTTTCAGCTCTTTTCCTACGCTTGCTAGTGACCTAGAAAAAAAGTGGTATAATTACACTATTAATTATTGCCACAGAATTTGGGTTCACTGTTTGGTAAAGTGTTATGTAAATGTAAGGAGACAGTCTTCACACTATCGTAGCTAATTTCTCTATTTCCTCCTCTGCTTTTACAAACCCTTAAACCACTCTTCAAAATTCATCACTACTGCAGATGTACGATACAATAGTAGTTTATCAAAAGGTGACTTCTACTAAGACACATTTTCAATTACATATCCGGAGTAATCTAAGCACTTATTTTATATCCCCAGAATTATGGCCAAAGTCATGTTTACATAAGAATACCAATTTTCACAGTGTGTCAATATAAACTTAAACGGATTTAATACCTTATTCTTCAGCCAGCAACTAATCAAATGAACTACTACATACTTAGGCTGCTTGGTGTAATAGGGTCAATATAGTTTCTGTATCCTTAAGTACAAAGCATAAAAAGAAAAGCCAATTTTGCTCCCAAAAAATTGGCAAAAACAACAAAAAAAAACCCCAAAAAACCAAACCAAAACAAGAAACAACCAACAAAAAAAAAAAACCCAACCAGCCAAAAAAAAACACAAAAAAGGATATTATACACTAAAATGTACTTGTTAGCCTTTTAACATAGTGCCCTAGAACTCAGTCATAAAAAATATAAAGCACACACAGAATCATAGGATCATCTAGGTTGCAAGGGACTCTTAAGATCATTGAGTCCCACCATAACCTAACACATCAGATGGACAAAAGCACTGAATATTGGCCAAACCCTTCAACAAGAATGTGATTCTTTAAAATGGTTTATACAAGACTCTCAGCCCAATCCAAAGCCCTTCTCCATCTGCGGGGGCATCGCACACACAAGAAGGAAGCAGAGACTTCCGAAATCTTGCACTGAAGTGGCTTCACTGGTAACTTTTCTCTTTTTGGTGTCTGAATTGGTGAATGTGAACTGGAAAGCACTCTCTCAGTCAACCCAAGGCAAACTAGTGCCTCTGAGTTCAGCACAGATCCACCCGAAAGGGGAAGGATTATTATGTTCCCCACTATCTTGATATGAATATCCCAATAAAAAGCAGTAACATTTGTCAATATAAGTAGAGGGAAAACAGCATCAGTAACGATGTTTCTATCAAGTGTATAATGTATCAAAGTTCAAATAAAAGAGTGCCACAAACACTGAAAAATTCCCTTTGGTAAGTTTTTAAATGTAGACATGCATGGAAGATGCAGTGTTTATGGGAATGCTGTATGAGCATTTGTTATGAGCTGATCTTTGAGAAAGAAAGGTTTTTCTCCCCCCCACAGCAGCATGTACATTCTCCGCACTCCAGTTTACCATCACAGCAGAAGATCAAGGCATTCCACTCTGCAGAAGTTCCCACACACATAAACAGGCTGAAATTTTGGGGTGTGACTAGTCAGGAATGCATGAAGGGCACATAAATCTTTGTGCCAGCTCCCTGCCAGGCTAGACAAGGGAGTTCTCCCAGCAGGGAGGAGCAGCAAGAAATTCTCTAGCACCCACCGAACACTACTTCTGTCTCACGAGGGTTACCTAACTTGCCATGACCTAAAAATTGGTGTTTGAATGAATTTTAAAAGTTCCTAAAATCTGCATTTGGTCCTTCACAAAGCTAGAGAATTAGAAATTATATACCGCACTCCAGTTTACCATCACAGCAGAAGACTGAGGAGAGATCAAGGCATTCCACTCTGCAGAAGTTCCCACACACATAAACAGGCTGAAATTTTGGGGTGTGACTAGTCAGGAATGCATGAAGGGCACATAAATCTTTGTGCCAGCTCCCTGCCAGGCTAGACAAGGGAGTTCTCCCAGCAGGGAGGAGCAGCAAGAAATTCTCTAGCACCCACCGAACACTACTTCTGTCTCACGAGGGTTACCTAACTTGCCATGACCTAAAAATTGTTGTTTGAATGAATTTTAAAAGTTCCTAAAATCTGCATTTGGTCCTTCACGAAGCTAGATAATTAGAAATTATATACTATTATTAATAATATAGTGTATATAATACTATATAATATATATTAACACATTTGCAGGTTACAACAGCCCTTGCAAAGGAGAGCACAGAGTATTTCATTATTAGCATATGTTTATCCATCTCCAGCATCACACACGTAACCGTAACATCCACGCACTGTCCAAAACAGCTCCTACCCTTTGGTTCACTCCCCAGCAAACTCACTGAAGGATGCTTCAGAGTGAAATTCAGCCCAATTTAGGAGGCAGCATTATGTCTTTAGAAGGCACTCTCATGCACACTGCAGCCACCTGCCCTCATGACTGTACCTTCCTGACTGATGATTTAATTACTACCTGCACGGCACGGGCAGAGGCCCACGCCGAGAGCAGGGTGTCACCGCGCTGGGTGCTGCACAACCCCCGGCCAAACACCCAGACAAGATGGGTGGAAAAAGTAAAATGCATAAGGTTACTATTTTAATTTTTCAAATGGGAATCAGAGACATGCAAAGATTAAGCAACACATCTAAAGACAACACCAAATATTTCTTCAAACATGTTATTACTGTCACCAACCTGCTGTGTTGAATATTAATTCGACAACACTAGTTGTGTTGAATATTAATTTCTATATTAATTTCTCCCTTTCTGAAGATATGCTTTTCCTGCAGGTACCTTAGCAGAGGAAGCATTAACAGGCAGTAACACTAGTCACTGCGGTATGCTTCAAGGGACACAACAGTGAAAAGAAGTATTAGTTTAGCAAAAATAGAAGGGATACTTTTCTGAAGGAACTAGTTTGGGGACAGAAACAGCAACAGCATTGGTATAAAGACCAAGTTTAATTGGTCAGTTTGCAGTTTTATTACGAGGCGTGTGGGATGACAGTGAAATACAAATGGACTTAAAACCTGCTGTATGTCCGTGCATGACCGTGTGTGCTGCACAGGCGTCACATCACCAAGGCAGAGCCACCGCTCCCCGGTGACAGCTCTGGTGGCTCTGGAGGGAGGGAGGAGAGAGAAGGGCTCTGGAAAAGGAGCACGTACCCGGGCACAGCTGGTTCCAGGGTGCCTGCGCCCCATCTCAAAGTCCCTGGAACAGTTTTGGGGGTCTCTGCAGCCCAAACGTACTCCCAAAAAGCCCTCTGTGAAGCCCCCATGGCTTCCTAACCCCAGGATCTGCCCGCGACAGCACTGGCTGTACTGACACCAAGGTGCGTGGTACGGACTATTTTGTTACTTGTACAACTTCATTTTTAAAGTCTTTTTACTGCATGTGTGTCTGTGTTAAGAAAGAACCCTTGCTGACATCAAGGGATTAGATTAGGAATTACATAGCAAGCGAAGATGAAACTTCCAACTATTTTTTGGCCATATTTTTGGCCATATAAACTTTTGTAAAATCTGCTATAAATTTTTTGATTGCTGGTAACATAATTGAACGTACAGGAAATGCCTTTCTAAGGACCTTAATGCCACATATTTCATTGTTTAATAAAATGAACGAGGAACTGTAACAACTATAATTGCTACATGATATTTGAGCCTCTGTGGAATAAACGATTTTTTTAAAAACAACATTTGGGTTGCTTATGCACTTCTCTGGAACACCCTCCCAAGCTATTGCAGATTTGGCTTGTGTTGAGAAGCCCACACCTGACAAAACACTGGCACCAATATTTCAAACAGCCCAAGCTACCAGTAACATGGTCCTGTCACTTTTCCAACATTCACAAACTTAAAAAAAAAAAAGTTCCTTTATCAGCCCTGTTTAAGGCTTGGGTATACACACACTGCTGCTTGTTTAAAACAAGGAAGGGAGGAGATAAAGAGATTTTTTTCCTAATGCCACTGTCATAGCTCAACATCTATGAGAACAGATAACTATATGTCCTAAAGTTGTGCCTTTAGCAGTAAAGAATTGGACTTGCAGCCTTTAACTGGAGACAAAAGCTCATAGTGAACCCAGGAGGAGGAGATGTATTTCAGCTGGGCTCACGAAGGTCAGAGCAGCCGGTGAGACCCTGATTCGGATTTCACACAGGAAGAGCCATTTGGAGAAATACAATCATCTATTTGGGTATTACACGGTGAGCAATGAGGCCCACGCTGTTGTCAGTTGGTATTGCAAAGCTAGGGGAGAAACAGAGACCCCTTTTTCAGCAGCAAGAGAAGAAACTGGCATCCAGAAGATGCCACAGCCCACGCTACAGACACCACCACAGGGAAAAGCAGTGCTTCAGGCTCTGAGTCTTCTGCATACAAAAGTAATAAGGAAAAGACCCAGCTTCTTCAAAAATCCATAGAAATAATTATACATTCCATAAGAAAAATGTTTATTTCTGATTTTGTGTTTAATGAGCAAGATAAAAGTGCGGGAGGTTGCCCACATACACCACTACGCCACGCACACAAGCTACCAGGAAAAGGGTTTTGCTTAAGGTATGACTGATTTGAGGGTTGGCTTTTGGGGGGGTGGTCCTGGGTTTTTTTGTTTGTGGGTGGGGTTTTTTTGGTTGGTTGGTTGGATTTGGTTTTTTTTCATAGAGTCAAGATGATGACTGTAAGTATTCTGCAATACATAGTTCAGCCTCCAGGCCAAGCCCGTTACAGGATATCAATTTCTAATTTTTAGTATAAAGATAAAAGCGGGTGATGATTTCTCAGCACAAAATGTCACATATAAGCCTGAAGCCCGACCTATAGCAAACTAGTATTTGTCTGTATGTATGTATTTTATTACCTCTTCCATCACAGATTAGCTGGGCAATGGCTGCAGCCACAGGAGAAGATGCCCAGGGGCTCTCTGGACCTGGGGACACGCTGCCGTGCCACTCACACACCGCAGCACGGGGGCTGCCCTTGGCGGCCCCGCCGGGAGGCTGGGAGCAGAGCAGCCAGCACAGGGGCACACAACACTCAACAACTGCCCCCCTGCCACCAGAATTCTTCAGAAGCCAGAAAAAGAGCCGAAGCCTTGGCACCGTTGGCAGTGTCCCAGCTAA